TCTTCCCTCTTGCCCACCTTGCCAGTGGGTTGACATGTAGTGAATAGGAGAGAAATAGACCTTTGTGTTTAAGATAGAATGAAGAATGGGATTTAGGGCTTAAAAACCTTGTATCTTGGCATTTCGGGGCTGCTCCTTTGTACAGGACAGCCGCCGGCTAATAAACAGCCTTTGAGAGCATACTTGGTTTGGTCTATTCTATACAGGCCACAACAGTTTGGAGGCCCCAGCGAGATCCACACCTTCGGGTAAGGAGATCTGTTGGTTGTGTGGGTGGTTCGGTTGTTGCTGCTGCGACGACGACGAGGAGGGGGATCCTCGTGTGCTTGGGGAGGCGGGGGATCCCCGTGTGCTTGGGGAGGCCTCTGGGGATTTCACCAGCCCGGGCCGGGATCACCCCCTCCTCTCGGCAGCGGCAAAAGGGAAAACCACCTGTATGCTCTAGGGCTGTATCGAAAGGGCCCCAGGGGACCTAGTGAGTCGGACCCGACACAGGATCACTGGTCCAGTGGGGGCTGTGACGACAGACCCCCACCTAGGTTTGGTGTTGAGTGTGCTTATTCGTTTGTCTGTTTGTCTGATTGATTGTCTATGTTTGCTTCTGTTCTGTTTTGTGTAATAATGGGGCAAACATCTGGGAAACTGACACCACTCCAGTGTTTACTTAATCACTTTAAAGATTTTAGGAAAAGGGCACAGGGTTATGGGGCTTCAGTAACTCCTTTTGATTTACAGAGATATTGTTAATTGGACTGGCCTACCCTTGGAGTCTGGTGGCCCAGTTCGTTTGACTTGCAAACGGCTTTCAGGGTCAGAGGTATAGTTTTTGGGAATCCAGGCCACCCGGATCAAGCCCCTTACCTTGATGTATGGATTGATATCGTGTCAGATGCCCCTAAGTGTTTGAAAACATGCCAAAGTACTGTATCATCAATAATGGTGGCAGTTCCAACCAGCCCGCCCCAGAAGCCGCCAGTATTGCCGGCTGCGCCAGAAGATCTGCCTGAACTGGCCATACCCCCTCCGTCCCCGT